AAAAATGAGATCCTGTCATTTGCAGCAACGTGGGTGAAACTGGAGGACACTACATTAAGTAAAATCAGTCAGGCAAAGAAAGACACATCTTACACATTCTCACTCATATGTTGCAACTAAAAAAAAAAATTGATCTCATGGAGATAGTGAATAGAATGGTGATTATCAGAGGCTGAGAATGGTAGTGAGGATGAGGGAATAAAGAGAGGTTGGTTAATGGGGACAAATATAGATAGATGTAACCTGTAGTGCCCAGCAGCACAATAGGGTGATTAAAGTTGGCAATCATATAATGTATATTTCAAAATAGCAAGAAGAAAAGATTTGGAATATTCCCAACACAAAAAAAAAATGTTTGACATTATGGATATTCCAATTATCCAGATTTGATTATTACACATTATATCCTTATATCATAATATTACATGTACCTTACAAATATGTATCTATTATGTATCCATAGAAATTAAAAATAAAAATTAAAGATTAAAAAAATTTGTCTTGAGGGATCAAAGATAGAATACAAATCCCAAATTATTGGCCTAATTGGGTTTTGTTAGTGGAAAGAAATTCCTTTTCATGAAATAATCAGATTCCACAAAACAGAGAAGTGGGTTATATAGAGATTACTGAATTTGTATGTAAATTTTTCTTGAAATTTGTATCTCAGAGAAATCCTCCATAAATGTATTGCTAGCCCACAGCAATAAAAACACACATAAGATGAATGTCCTGAGAAAGAGTCGGTAATTTTAAAGTTACATATCTTGATTAATACTTTTTAAATAACCTTGTTCTTTTTGGCTTCAAATCATTAAATCTGCAGCTAGAAAGACAGGAAAAAATATTTAATAGATTGAAAGCCTACAAGGCAGAAACCATGATTATTTTCCATTTTCTGTAACACCTCCAGGCCAGTAGTGCTAAATAAATGTTAAATTATTGTAAAACTTGGCCTGAAAGGAAAGTCCATGAAATGGAGAATTTATCATCCTATAACCTTTGTAGGAGAATTTTAAGGCTTCTGGTGGTTCATGCAAGTATTTGAATGAAACGAAGTGGTAAAGCCTTCCCAGTGACAAGACTTATCCCAGTTTCTGATGCAAGCTTTCAGATGTCCAGATTCGTGGACAATGACTGTCTTAATTGTGTTCCTGTTTGATCCTCCCAAGCTTGATACGCTATTTGGTATACAATGTGCTCTCTATAAACATTTGTTAAATAAATATGTAAAGAATTCTGAAGGAAGGGATTTTTCCGCCTCATAAATGACACGAATCATAAATTTATCCTCACGGAAACCATGGCCTTACTAGGGCTTTGACCTTTTTTACTGATTATTTATTCCAGATTTGTAGGTGAAAGGCAACGGATTAAACGAGAGGAGTCTGAAAGGTGGATTATGGGTAATTGGTTCTCTTCCATTTCTGATAATACCCTGGGTACTAAAAGGAAGTCATCCCTCCCTAATATCTTTCTTAGGTGATAGCTTCTGGAAGGCAAAGTTTTCAGGGATTCGATGCTGGCAAAGGAGGTCAGATGAGACTGGGGCCTCCAAAAGGAGGAGAATAGAAATTACAAGAGAGGCGGGAAGGGCCAAACAACAGGCTGTGCCACACAGTCCAGCAAGTGTAAGATGGAATTTAGCAGTATTTGCTCCTACTTGAGTGAAACCTTCTAAGGGCTTCCACTTCCTAATTTGCCTATTTGTCTCTATGTCACCCTTCATCTTGATTCATCGAGACTGCAGTACATTTACGACTTTCCCTTACCTTATACTTAATCATTTGTCATCTTTGAAGCAGCATCATTTATGTTCTAGATAAGGTGGAGGTATGACTTCTACCCTCGAAAAACTCATGATCCAAAGAAATGTTCTTATGATCAAATACATTTGGAAAATGCTAAATATTTATTGTCTCTTGGAGAATTGCGCATGTATATTAACATATTGAACACTCTCCAAGGTCTGTAGGAAAAAAGAAAACCTTGGATACTTGATTTAACCTAGCATTTTCTCAAACTTTTCGCCATGGTACCACTTTAAACCTAGTAATATCTAAAGCAAGGGTTACACGTTTTTACATAAAATATACAAACAACAAAATCTTAAACAAAACGTATCCAGAATTCCATGTTTTTAATAACTGTGCTCTTGTAAATAATTAATCAGGCTTGATTTGCCCCCAGATAGTCCTTATTTATGCATGTTGTCCTGGCGTAATTATTAATAGTGTCCCATATTCAAAGGTGTTCTGGTTTGGGTAACAAATTATGTAGTGACCCTATTCACAGACCAATTTTGTGCATCTCACTCTTGTCTTCCTCTTAAGTCCCTCATTCAAATTGGCCTGTTGCAAAGTACTTTTGCATTCTGTAGACATACCTTGGAATACAAAACCAGGTACCAGTTACATTAATGTTACATAAATATCACTATTAGTTTTTCAAATCCTAATGTTAATTCCTTCTATTTATTCAGGTTTGTATATTCTCAATCCAAATTATGTGGGTGATGCAAAATTGCAACATGAAGTAATACTTAACTACCCAGGATGTTTAATCTGTCTGATTCAAGTTTTCATAGTATAATCATGCAGGTAAACAGTCCACATTCTCACAGTGATACTTAAATAACTCATCTTCCCAAGAAATCATTTCAGACCTGCATTCTACCCTTCCATATGTTACCATAACACATAAAATCACAATTAAAGAGTGGTGATGATCCAAGATTGCCTAAGTATGTGTGGCTTTGGTGGCTGTACTGACTTACAGATTTCCCATAAAATTAACTAGCAATAAGAAATAAACATTGAAAATAGACTTAGTGGGCTGGGCACGGTGGCTCATGCCTGTAATCCTAGCACTTTGGGCGGCAGAGGCAGGTGGATCAACTGAGGTCAGCAGTTCGAGACCAGTCTGACCAATATGGTGAGACCCCATTTAAAAAAAAAAAAAAGAAAGAAAATAGACTTAGCATATCCTATTATGTTAAATATAAACTTGTAAGGGTTTTAGTGAGAGATTTGCCTAAGCCAGCGTTTTAGTCTGGTCACTATTAACATTTCAGGCCAAATAGCACTTCGTTGTCAGGGGCTGTCCTGTGCACTGTAGGATTTTTACAGCATCCTTAGCCTCTAAACAATAGAGGCTAGTAGCAACCCCACCCTTATCACCCCACACCCTTGAGATGTGTCAACCAAAAATATCTCCAGCTATTGCCAAATGTCCTCTGACGGACAAAATTGTTTCTGTCTGAGAAACCCTGGAATAAGCAGTTGCAGGGAAGAACTGAGTCCTGGTGTGTTAGATTGCTACAAAATCACATTAAATCCATATTATCTCTACAGGTAAAGGTTCATACATTTCATATCAACAGATATTTGTTGAGTACCTACTAGGTATAAGACACTTTTCAAATACTATGAGAGATTAAAAAAAATTGAAATATGTTCTGCCATCAAAACTTTAAAAGATAAGATGCTTCTGAAGTAACTGAATTTATTTCAATTCTACACATGATTATTTAATACGTTTTGGGAAATAGTAGTATATATATTTACTGACCATCTAAGCACACCTACTGGAGTAATAAGTTAGCAGATATTCTTAATAGAATTATCTGAGATAATAAACTGAAAGCATAGAACTGATATGTCTTACTCAGGTCACACATTTGATGAATAAATATAGAAATCCTTATGAACTACTAAACGGAAATTTTAAAAGGTGCATCTGAGGAGACGGATTTTCTTCTGGGGTGAAACGTGTAACAGAAAATTACCAGTCCTTTTCTAGAGATCAAGAAAGGGCTTATAGGGAAGCTCATACTTCAGTTTGAAATTTATGGTATTTTTCTCTGGAGCTTGGGATATTAAGCTTGCACAAGTTGTAGAATTCTACAAAGAGCCTGTGGATAACTAGGTGGATTGGTTGTAATCTGGTTTAGAGATGAAGGTCAGAGAAGTGTCTTTTAGCGTCCAACATGAGTAAACTTTGTATAGGAAGATAATTGGCATGCAAGGCAGGAGACTTCAGTTCCAAAGTTGGTTCTGACTCTAATCTGCAGTCCTGTAATTTTACTTTAGGTCAAGAAAGCTAAATATGCTTTCCCTGTATAAAACAAGAATTATGTATTCTCAGTCAACCTCAAATTAAATACTGTAAATAAAAATTGAGCTACCTTTGCTATATTAATATAAGCTATTAGCTACCAAATGAAATGATTTTACTGAAGGTCTATCAGATTGCTTCCAGGTCTGAAAATCTATAGTTTTATGACAAAGCTTAAGTCTCCAAGATAGTACGTATGTTTATGAAAGAATGGCGTATTGGTGTTAGCCTCATAAAGTTCACCAGTCAACTTTGCTAAGCCAGCTAGACTGAGAGCCACGTAAAGTCATCAGGTGGGTGGTATTTTGGTGCTACCAGGGGCAAGAGGAACATACAAATAAACAGTCAAGTCAATCACTGGAACTGGAGAAAACCCCCACTGAGTCCCAGCATCAGGAGGAAAATTTTTCCCTATTTTTTTTTTTTTTCTGCTTCTAACTTCTCAGTATCAACTAGCAGCAAATAAGAACCATAACCCAGGCTTTGGTACTCTGAGTGCAGAAGGAGCCATAAAATGCATTTCATCTCTTCTAAGCTTTATTTTTGTACAATGGAGAAAGTCTATTGAATTTTATTTGTAAGATCTGCCTAGCCAACATTTCTTGGTCAAGAAAGAGATCTGCCAGTCCTGGGGTTAAGCAGAAAGCAAAGGGCAGCATATTTATCAATGCAAGGCAGTCCACATGCATTTAGCTGTATGTTCTCAGGAAGCTTGCTAATTCTAGCAGTAACATTACTACCATCTGCGTAGTGTTTTAGAGTACCCTCACACACTTTTGTATTCGTGATCATTTTTAATACATGACTAAATTCATTTGGTGATGCTGCATGATTTTTACTTATACATACTTATACATTGCTATGCACTAAAAGCAGACTCTCACCTTTGTGATTTTCTTTTTCAGTTTTTCCTGAGAGAAACTAGTCCACTCAAATGAAAACATCAGAAACCAGTGGAATATTGATAGGAGATTTTTTAAATTATACCTAAGGCTGGATTTAAGCTCAGTCAAAATTAGGTTCCCAATTCCATCTGTTCTTCAGGATTCATGAGAAGCAGAAGTGCCAGTTGGACTGGAAAGTTCTGGTGTGAGATGAAAATTTCTTACTTAGAACCTAGACTTTGTAGCCTGTCAGCAAACATAAGGTTTAGATATTTTGTGAAAATATTTCCCCAAAATAGCCTACAGTATGCTGCTTGGGAAATGTTTGAGAAGGAAGACAGAATTTAGCCAAGGAAGTCTGTGATCATGGAGGACAAGATCCTCCACAGAAGTTTCTTGGTTTGGTTTCTTCCTGCCCCCATCCCCATCTCCTTCTATCTCCTGCATTTTCTTTTTGCTTTCCAATGCAGCAGCTCAATGGGAAAGTGCACATCTATATTTAGCATTTCCTTTGTCCATATGGGAATTTGTAATCTCTTCAGACTTTACAAGGATGATTCACTTTGTTGTTTTCTTACTGTTACTGCTAATTGGAGAATTACCTCATTGCAGACTTGTGCACAAGCTATGATTCCAGTCTAGGTTGAGTCTTCGTTAGGTAAGAGAGATTCTAATAAAGACAATCCTGAAATCGCAATATGTTAACTCAAAACATTTAACTAAAAATACTTATTAGTCAAACACAATTTGGTGATTTTTACGGACATTTTTCAAAACACAAAAGTGAACAACTAAAAATAAAACTAAGACTATGCTTGCTCTAAATGCAGCCACAATGTGACTATATGGACGACAATTTTACAGATGTTTGAAAACATCACCAACAAGTATTTTATGGAGTTTCCATTTGCCAGGGAATTGTGTCCTGAGAAGGTAGAATAGTATCTTCCCATAAAATGTGCAAGCTGGTATTGAGATAAATCACACAACCTGAAAAATTTAATATAAATGAAAGAACTGAATAGTCAGTTAACCAAAATTACAAGAGCTACATAAAATATTCTTGAGGATTTTCCACAGTTGAGTTGAGAGAAAGATGAATTCATTAGGGGCAAATGTCTATATGGAATATGGAAAGCCTCACAGAATTAAAGTTCAGCCTTAAAGTCAGTTAAAGTTCAGGTAGAAGAGAAAGGAAAACACCTTTCAGAAGAGGAAGTCCATCAGTCTAATTCCAATTAAGTGTCTAGTGTACTCTGTGCCACATCCTGTTCTAGGTTATAGACTCACCAAAAATGGACAAAATAGATATAGTCCCTGCCCCAGCAGTTAGTCGACTGATGTCATAAAGAAGAACAGGTAAAGAAAAGGTGGTATATATACACAATGGAATATTATTCTACCATAAAAAGAATGAAATTCTATCAATTGCAGCAACATGGCTGAAACTGGAAGATAGCATGCTTAGTGAAATAAGCTAGGCACAGAAAGACAAATATCACATGTTCTTTCTCATATATTGGAACTAAAACAAAAATTGATCTCATAGAGATAGAGAGTAGAACGATGGTGACCAGAGAGGCTTTGAAGTGTAGTGGAGAGGGTGGGTATGAAGGCGGCTTGGTTAGCGAATAAAAACATAGAGTCAAATAGAAGAAATATGTCCTAGTGTTTCATAGCATAATAGAACAACTGTAATTCACAGTAATTTAATGTATTAATATATTTCAAATTATCTAGAAGATTTGGAATATTTCTAACACAAAGAAATGATAAATGTTTGAGGCAACTGATATGCTAATTAACCAGATTTGATCATTATACATTGTATGCATGTATCAAAATATGTACTCCATAAGTTTGTAGGCTATTGTGTATCTATATAAATTTAAAAATTTGGACAGGCACGGTGGCTCACGCCTGTAATCCCAGCACTTTGGGAGGCCCAGCAGAGTAAATCACTTCAGATCAGGAATTTGGGACCAGCCTGGCCAACATGGTAAACCCCTTTATATTAAAAATAGAAAAATTATCCAGGCGTAGTGGCATGTGCCTGTAATTCCAGCTAATAGGAAGACTGAGTCACGAGAATTGCTCAAGCCTCGAAGGCAGAGGTTGCAGTGAGCTAAGATCATACCACTGCACTCTAGCCTGGGTGACAAAAACAAGACTCTGTCTCAAAACAAAACAACAGCAAAAAAATTAAGAGAGCAGTAGTGAAAATAAATAAAATCACAGCCAAGGCAAGAGCAAGTTGAGGCTTAGGATTTGTGCACATCCTGGAAAGCTGATTTTCTCCTCTCCATCTCCCTTAACTCCAAGCAGCATGGTCACTGGGAATTGCTGCAGAAAATAACATCAGTAGGTTAGTCGATAATTGAACAAAGCTGCTGTCTTAAAAGAAAAATCTAGTGATAGTATTTTTTGGCTCTATGAGCAGCCCAGATAGAGGCCACGAATCACAAAGTAGCTGCCCATATCGATCCTGGACTCACTGTAAACCCTCTGGGTGTGGTGAGAAGCTGAAGAAGTCTAGAATTTTGTCATTTTTTTTCCTTGAAAATTAAATTATCACAAAAGGATTAACTATGAGATTGTGTCACATTTGAAGAGCAAAGACACTGAAATATAACACAATTCTTTATATTCCTGTTCTATATTTAATTTCTCAACAATTCCCTTTTTAAAAATGAAGTATTAAAAGATAGATATTTAGATATGAAGTGTTTCAGAATGATAGAGGTAGAGAACATTAAAAATTAAAAGTAAAACATTGTAAGTAAAAATATTGAAGCATTTCAGCTTTTTTTTTTTTTTTTTTTTTATTTATTTATTAGTGTCTATTAACTCTGACCTAGAATTTTAAAATCCAAACGTAGGTCATGAACCAGGTTCTATGAAATAAGAAAAACTGCCCTGTTGAAGTTGTAGAAGGGACCTAAACCTCTGCCCCAAATCCAACCTCCCCCCGGCCCCCACCCTCAAGCTGCCCCTGAGATGTTATTTCACAACCCTAGGGTTCAGCAGCATTCAGGCCAGAAAACAATCACACGGCCCATCTCTTCTTTTGGGAATGAAACTATGTGCCAACATTAATTTCTAATTTAATTTACACATTTAATTTCATTTTTAAGAAGCTGAGCTTTAGTTTACCCAGAATTAACTAAGTAGTACCACTGAACAGTTTTGTGTGGCTGTAAAATTTCTAACATTTTTGAAACAATGAACTCATTATCCTCCTCAACTGGATGAACTCATTACTCCCAGATCCTCCTTTCTTACCTAGAAGTAATGTGATTAAGATAATGAAGAGACGAACCTAGAATCCACGTCTTATGGCAAAGGTCGCTCAGCTCTATGGCCTCTATCCTGAACACAAACCAACTATATGGATGCACATATCTGTATGTGGTATGTAGTCTAAATATTTTTTTTCTAATTGTAAATTCTTTACTAAATTAGAGTTGGAGGATTCCATAAGAGTTAGGCTTTTTCTAGCAGAGGTTTAAGACTCACAGGGAAAAATTGAAAAAGTAGCAAGCATCCAATGACACCCTCCTGGTATGCATTCCTGCTAAGAGAACTCAAATAGACTCATTCTCCTTAAACAACATGAAACATTAAAAAAAAATAAAACAGTAATTTCTTCTACTATATTAATGTGGAAAAGAGAAATCAGGTACCTATAACTAGAGTTCTCAACTAGTTAGTTTTGCTTCTATCCCAAAGAAACAAACTTTGCTGTCTCAATTTTAAAGGGGCACTTATTAAAAGGATATTGTTATAAGATTCAGGATGGTCCAGCTTAGAAACAAACAGGAGGCAGAGATTAGACAAAACATGGTTACTTCTACTTATGTTTCCAGGACCACCACTGTTGGATGCTTCTGCAACCCATATCACCTGCACTTCCTCTTTTTGTCACATGCTCAAAATTAACCCCTCCTAGGCAGAAGCATGTATTTGGCTAAGCTTCTCTCATATGTCCAAACCCTGCTGCCACAAGACAAAAAGAGTTTTCCTGCCCCAACCCCACCCTCTGGCCCATTCACAACCACAAAACAGGAGATTCTCCAGAATCAATAAGGAGATTTAGAGGTAAGGCAGCCAGAAAAATGGCGAGTATTTATAGTCAGAGTATATGAGTCAAAATACTACATTATTAGCCATTTAAACTATAGATTAAAAAGAAGGGTCAAATTTTCAACTCCAAAGAGTCAAAACTATTGGACTATAGACAACAAGAGGAAAAATGTTCTGAATCTCTTGAACATTCATTCTCTAGAACAGTTTTATCCAAAGTGTGCCCTATTAAATATAGCATGTCTCATGAGATACTTGTCATGTACAGAAAATGGTTCATATCACATATTTCCATTTTAGAGTTATAAAATGCTAGCTAGAACATTATGTTTTAAAAGTTTGTTTCATTCAGCATTCTCCAAACTTCTTTAACATTTAGCCCTAACACTCGCAGCATCAGTTTTCAAATGAGCACGCTAAAAAAACAAAAAAAGTGTTCCTCACAAAAGAAGCATTGCATTCTATGAAACTTTTGGAACCATTTCACAGGAATTATGACCTTTCTGGCTTCAGAGTAACTTAACTAATTTCATTATTTATTCCTTGAACCCATGAAGTTATAGCAGCTTGCAGTAAGTCATATTATAGGTAATCTGCCTTCCCAAAGATAAGAACATGTAGAAACTGCTTCTACCACAAGGGTCACCCCCTAATGGCCAGTGGGTAAGTTGCTGTATTTGTCTGTTTTCACACTGCTACAAAGATACCATCCAAGACTGGGTAATTTATAAAGAAAGAGGTTTAATTGACTCACAGTTCCATATGGCTGGGGAAGCTTCAGGAAACTTACAATCATGGCAGAAGGAGAAGCAGGTACACCTTACATGGTGGAAGGTAAGAGAAAGAGAGTGAAAAGTCCAGGGGAAACTGCCATTTATAAAACCATCAGATCTCATGAAAACTACCTCACTACTACAAGAACAGCATGGGGAAAATCATCTCCATGAACCATTCACCACCCACCAGGTCTCTCCCTCAACACCTGGAGATTACAGTTCAAGATGAGATTTGCGTGGGGACACAAAGCCTAACTAGTTGCTATTCTTCTCCTTTATTCAATTTAAACAGAGTATGATAGAATAGCAGAGCCCCCAGTCCCTTCCCCTTAGCAAAAGACAAAAGGGATAGAAATTATCAGAAAAACGTTGGAGCTTTTGGTTAGATGTGAAAGTCCAGATACATATTCCCCCTTCTCTCATCTGTGGAAGCCCTGGGCTCTTCTTTCTCCAGCAGGCCAGAGCAACATGTCCTACATCCAAACAGCTCTGCCAGGCTTCATGCTGCCCATTTTTTTTTTGTCATCAAGAACATATACAACTGAGAGCATGAGACATTACTGAAATCACTTCCTTTCATTTTTACCCCC